ATTCTTATTAATGCAAAACATTGAAAAGATCAATGTTCTTCCTGACACCAGATTAGCAATAGTTTGATGCAAAGTTCTGCAGCTGCTAACGGAAGGTCTGCCTCCGGATATTTTCTTCATACTTAAGCTAAATCAGTTAATCAAGCTAACATGATATTAGTTTGATTGTCAATAAACAATACAGTTGCTTTCAACTTAAAAATAGTTGTACACATTCAAAATACAATGTAGATGATTTATATAGTACAGTTTGCATAAAAAAAATATTTACAATGGGAAACAGCTTTAAGTGCGTAGCATACATGTAGCAAGTTAGCTTTCAAACTGTGTTTATATTGTACAGACTAATGGTAAGATTTAAAACATTGATTGAAAGATAAATACATTAGATAAAGCTGTTTTCATTTTTGAAAAAAAAAAGAAAAAACTAACATTCCGTTGTTCCGTGTCATTCTAAAACATTCCGTTGTTCCGTGCCATTCTAAAACATTCCGTTGTTCCGTGTCATTCTAAAACATTCCGTTGTTCTGTGCCATTCTAATGCTGCGTTCACATCGGACGCAATGCGGTGTTTGGGGGCGGCGCGATTACATGTAAAGTCAATGCAGAGACGCGGATTCGCTCCGACGGCGAGCATGAAGCGGTGGACGCGGCGCGAATCACGCGATTGAGGCGATTGAATGGTGCCGCGTCGAACGCGAGAGTTCAATTTTTTCAACTCGAGCGTCAAATTCACGTGACACGTAAGCCAATCAGCGTTGGGATTCCCTCTGACGTCCGTCTGACGTACTGCTGTTGATCAGTCGTAAAGATGGAAGAGAAGATAGTTGTTGCTGTGAGTGGGTTCCCGGAGATAACAGCGTGGGAGCAGAGGTGAGAGTCCAAAACAATAAACATTTGATGAATTATAAAGATCTTTCCTATATACACTGATCCTTATGAGGCAGTATTTCTTTTCAAACACTGCCACTTTCTGTGATTTCCCTTTATTGTACCCATTGTTAATTTTTTCAAATTTATTATAAATTTTACTAATTTCATGTTTTAACAAGGGAAGTTTCTACTAGTTGGTACCGTCATATTTAGATAATTTTTAAGGTTTAAATTGTCACGTATTTAATTAAATACTTAAAGCTTGAAGTCTTCAAGAAGACGACGGCAACGTCAGAACCTTCCCCCTTACCTTCGTCCGAAGCCTCCCTTACGAGTAGAAGACTCTCACCACGCCGTCCGTCTCGTGGCCTTGGGGCAGAGTCCCGGAGTCCGTCCGCAAGTACGTGGAGTGAAAAGTAACAGTTGATGTTAAAGGACCGGAAAAAGAAGGACGTACTGTTCTTCGTTTTATCGTAACAAATATCACCTTCCAATGTCGTTACGTATGGTTATGGTTATTTTACGTTAGTTTTGACAGTAAATGTATGGGGAAAGCACGAGCGATGGGGTTGATCCAGGACGTCCCGTAGTCGTCCCTGTCGTCGTCCCAGTAGTCATCCCTTGTCCGCGTTCCCGTTAGGTCATCCCTGTCGTCGTCTCTATCGTCGTCCCCGTAGGTCGTCCCTTCGTTCGTCGTCCCCGTAGTTCATCCCTGTCGTCGTTCCTGTAGTCATCCGCTGGTCGGGCGTCCCTTCGCCGTCTCTGTCGTCGTCCCCGTTAGTCGTCCTGTCGTCGTCCCCGTCGTCGTCCCTTTCGTCGTTCTCTGTCGTCGTCCCCGTAGTCATCCCTGTCGCGTCGCGCCGTCGTCGTCCCTTCGTCGTCTCTGTCGCGTCCCCCGTCGTCGTCCCTTTCGTCGTCACTGTCGTCTCCGCCGTCGTCGTCTCTGTCGTCGTCCCCCGTCGTCAGTCCCTGTCGTCGTGCCCGTCGTCGTCCCCGTAGTCATCCCTGTCCTTCGTCCCTGTCGTGTCTGCTGTCGTCGTCCCGTAGTCGTCCCTGTCGTCGTCCCGTCGTCGTCCCTGTCGTCGTCCGTAGTCGTCCCTGTCTCGTCCTTGTCGTCGTCCTTTCGTCTCCTCCGTTAGTCAGCCTTGTCGTCGTCCCGTCGTCGTCCCTTTCGTCTCTCTGTCGTCGTCCCCGTAGTCGTCCCTGTACGTCGTCCCCGTTCGTCGTCCTTTCGTCGTCTCTGTCGTCGTCCCGAGTCATCCCTGTTCGTCGTCCCCGTCGTGTCCTTTAGGTCGTCTCTGTCTCGTCCCGCGTAGTCATACCTGTCGTCGTCCCCGTCGTGTCCTTTCTGTCGTCTCTGTCGTCGTCCCCCCGTCGTCGTCCCTGTCGTCGTCCCCGTAGGTATCCCATCGTCGTCCCTGTCGTCCGTCCCCATAGTCATCCGGTCGTCGTCCGCTTGTCGTCGTCTGTCGCGTCTCTGTACGTCGTCCCGTAGTCTAACATAACAACATCAAGGAACTCTCGTTTATATTATTACTCTATCATATTACCTTGTCCGATTACATTGAAGATCTAAAACACTCTATGTTTGAAAAAATGTTACGTGAGACCATTAAATATTAATGAATAACTATTTTAATTCGTCAATATCGGAACTATAAGTAGAACTTGAAACTAAAAATCGTAAAAAAAACATCTATAAGGACATACTGAAAGGATACGTCACACTTACTTACAGAGGTGAAGCAGTTGTGTTGGGCAGAGGGCACGACGAGGGACACGAAAGTGCCAGGCATGGAGACGTCCAGGACAGAAGGAGCTGGGGCTGTGGATATACGACCACAAAAAAAGAGCCCCATTGTTTACCCACTCCTTCCTGTCCTTGGCGCCTCAAAAGGTGAACAATAATCCAGGGACGACGCCTTGGTGAGGAGGATAGGAAGAGGAGAAAGGAAGAACTGTATCCACAGGGACTCCGGAAAGGTGAAGGAACGCCGTATGGGAAGGAGATGTTCTTTTTGCAAAGTGTGGTTGCGCCGGTTGAAAATTGCAATGTTAGTGACGGCAATTTTTTTTGGCCGCCAACTCGATTGAACCAATTCACGATTACATAACAACCAAATAGACATTAGTTCGTTTGTTGCCTGACATATAAAAGATCATTGAATGGTCTAACGGATGAAGGGAGCGAATAAAAGGAGGTACGCTCGAGAAAGAACAACACCAGGGCCATCTATCATGCGTGTANCTAAGTGGCTTGACCTAAAGGTCCCATGTCATGCCCATTTCCACTGATCATAATTCCATTGTTGAGGTCTACTAGAATAGATGTATATTGTGCAATTTTCCAAAGAAAATTGCACAATATACATCTATTCTAGTAGACCTCAACAATGGAATTATGATCAGTGGAAATGGGCATGACATGGGACCTTTAGGTCAAGCCACTTAGAAAGAGTTGTTCGTAGTACTTTGTAAAATAAATAAATAAAACAGATGTGAGAAAAAGGGGTGAGGCCTGACAAATGGGGTTCAATTCTATCCTTTTAATAGATAGATAGATCATAGGTACTTTATTGATCCCAATTTGGGAAATGTTTGCATTGCAGCAGCATAAAAAACAAGCCAATAAGAGAAATTAAGACAAGAAATAAACAGTCCAAAATATTTCTGAAATAGATATAAAATAGCATTAAAGTTAAAACATATATATATATATGGAAAATATACATGTGGAAATACAACTATCCAGTAACAAATATAATGCAGGATACTATTGTGCAAGAAATTGATTATTCAATATTAAATTGAATAATGTACACAAATGTGTTGTAGTTCGAGTAGTTAACTCCTAAAACATTGCAAAAAGGTAATTAGCAACTGGAATGACTATGCAAATATAAATGAACATATCACAGATAGTTCACAACTCCCCAACATGTATTGTGGCATGTGACGTAACCCTTACCGATCTGCTCCAGCAGGTCCCTCATCATCTCTGCCCTGGCCCATGGAGGACTTCACATATCGCGAGGCTTTCTCCACATAGCCTGGAGGGTTTGTTGTCCAATTCAAATAACTACTTACTCTGTTCATTGTGTATATTATTCAAAACAAAGCAGTCAAAATGTTGGAAGTCTTCATGGACAAGAAATAAATCCACTTAATGCATTGTAACTAAAAGAGTATAGACCAAATAACGGTAATGTCGTATAATAATGTATAGCTAGCAAAGACATTTAAAACATCAGATCCACACATGAGGTTTTGTGTCAACCAGGAAGTGTTTTAACGTCATCAGCGTGACGGATCATCATCTGACCAATCATCGAAGAGAAAGCGGAAGTGTCAAAGAAGCGAGAGGATTCCCTCTTTCTACTTCCGTTTTCAACTGCACCGAGTCACACAGTAAATACGACCTTCTCATTCGGTATTTATTCATAGACTGTATATGTTTGTTCCCCATAAATAAATGCACCACAACAGTGTATTGCTGCAACGCCAGAAAATAAAAAAAACGGATCATGCTATTACGTGAAACTTTGTTATATCAAGATATTTTTGACGTGGTTACATTGAAGTTATTGTTAGGCTATAAAAACACTATCATGTTACAGCTTTTCTATAATATATAGCGTCTATCTTGTTAGAACATGAAACTTTACGTGTTTTTGTTTGTACGTATCCTAAAATAATCAGTTGCTCTGTTTTGTAGTATGTGTTTGAATATAAGTAACGTAGTTTTGTTCTATCAATTGCTGACAAGATTTCCCCCACAGCCCCAAACAACAGTATTGTCATTTAGAAAAAAAGAAAACTGGTGAAAATTCCATAAAATTGCAATATTTTCAGGCTTCAAATAATGAGAAAACGTCATTGTCTGTACAAATGGGTATAGTTTTCTTAGTGTTGGCCGTTTACGTTGCAATGTTTATTTATTGTTAGTTAGTTTCTAAGTTTGCCTACATTAACTTGTGATACCTGATTTTAATATTATTTTCAAAATGTATATTATATTATTCGTTAGTGCTCTAAAGAACAGTATTCATTTACACGAAACTCAATTTGGGACCGGAACTGTCTTGTTCATGTTTACTCTTTGGCTGGTCTGCAGCCTTTCTATATATACAGTCTGTTTGCAACAACACAGTAGATTTTTTCGCTTTAACAGTAAGGTCCTGCACCTCTGAAAGTCTGATTTTACTTTTACCTTGAATTGCAGTTATGGCTGATGTCAGCAAAACTGAAAAGGTTCAGTTGCACGTGCCAGATTTAGAGGAACTACGTGGTGGTATGGACTTTGATACACATGCATGTTTATGAAACAGAATGTTCATTAAGAGTGTGTATGCTAATAGTAACGACTTATTGTTGGTTGCAGTATTACAAGCAGGCCTGGAAGATAACTTTGCTGAAGTTCAGGTGAGTGTTGTGGAGTGTCCAGATCTCACCAAGGAGCCCTTCCAGTTTCCTGTGAAAGGTAGGAACATCAGAAAAGAACACTGCATTCTACAACAGTGTGCAGTTAGTAAAATAAAAATATATACACATTATTTATGTAAGTGGCAGAATATCAATGCACTGTGAAAATCAGATCCCCCATGCATGCCCTACTATGTTTATTTTGTCAATTCATGCACAATTTAATACACCTAAGCCTAAGCTTTTGCATCACTTCCATTTATATCAGCCCCTCAAAGTTTTTCATATTCTTCAAGTATGGATGTATTGCACATGTTTTTTTTAACATGAGATTTATTTGTTGTCGGGTTAAAGATATTATTGGATTGATTATTACAAAAAGTGAAATGGTTGCAAAATGAAATCCGTCAGAATTGTGAAGTCTTCGCGTACTAAAATAGAAAAGCACAATATAATAATGAGCAAACTATTACAAATTACACAATATGATAGACAGTATGAAAACTAAATGTATCACAACTATCAACCTGATTATTTCAGCCGCTGAAGAGATTATATTGATTTCTTGCAAAACCATTGGATGACTTAAAAAACCTTTTTTTCCCAACAAATAGTGACCCGAATAATCTCATAACACTTGATTTCTCATTAAAGGACATTTAAAATGTAATGAGTAATGTATATGTTTATTGAAAGTGAGAGACCTATCAGTTCAATTTAGTTTAATAAGTGTGCTGTTTGCAGTGTTCAGATGCAGGTTTTCAGTTCAACAACCTCAATAAGTTGTGTCCATGTGCTTTTGGTTTTCACTTACCATCACCTCTGTCCTATCACTGCAGGCTTGTGTGGTAAGCCTCGGATCACTGATGTTGGTGGTGTGCCATACCTGGTCCCCTTGGTTCAGAAGCACAAGGTAGATTTAATGAAAATATTGCATGGAGATAATGATCATCAGCCTGTGGTGATGTGGTTTTTACAAAGCCATCTGTCCTCATTCCAGGAATACAACATGAACACCATATCGAAGGAGCTGGAGCTGCCAGGAGCCTTCGTCCTCGGCGCAGCAGCTGCTCCCTCCAGAGTAGTCGGAATGAACGCAGAGGTTTACTTTTTACATCAAATCACAAACTCTGGCTAATATACATTCACTTGCTTTCTGAAGGGTGCAGCATTAAAGTTATTTCCCCTAGAAAGGAAGCCCCAGATATCATCTTGCACAACATGCACAAAAATAACTTGTCAAAGTGGCAACAAAATAATGAAAACAGTCAGATATTTAATTTTTCATGTAAACCTTCTTTACCAGGTTGTCTTATTACAAAGCAAATATTGGATTAAGGAAAGTAAAACGTTGGGTGGTTGTGAGATTGAAGAACTTTATACTAGCATGTGTCACTTGCTATATTACACAATGGAAAAATAGAAAGACAAAAGCACTTGGGGAACGTCAAAACTCGTTTTTTTCTGACTAAATATTCTCATGCCCAGCTGATGCCTCTGGTTCTGACCGAAGCGGAGGGACGGCCTGCAGTGAACAGCAGCTACTTCGCTTCCATCAATCCCGCTGATGGCCAGTGTCTGCAGGAAAAATACAGCAACAAATTCTCTGACTGCAACTTTGGACTTCTGGGCAATCTGTACGCATGTGAAGGGAAGTCTGGAAAGGTACTGTGTCTTATTTGAACAACAAATCATCTAATCATGTGGAAATCCTTCAAAAAGTCATTTTTTTACTACTTTTGGCAATAATGAACACAGGTCAGGTTATATATGAACTTAAACACAATTATCTGCAAGTTAGTACCCTCGCTAATGTTGTTGTGTTTGAACTTCAGCCCCATCAAATGTGTGCTCCCAATATTTAGTAGGATAAACATTAACAAAAGAGAAGTGACTGCACATGCTGAGCTGTCATGTCCTCTTCACCGGTGTCTCTGCAGGTTATAGAGGTGAAGGCCAAGAAGAGAACCGGGGACCACAGCCTGGTGGCGGCCATGAGGAACACTCTGGAGAGTCACTACCCTGAAAAAAGCCTGGCTCTGGGAGGAACCTTCATCATCCAGAAAGGGAAAGCTAAAATCCACATCATGGTACATTTTGGACTTGATACAAGACACATGATTTAATGCAGTTGCCAGTGGTTCACAATACTTACAATACAGTATAACGTAATAGTAACAATTCTGAGGTTTTTGTATTTAACTTGAACTCTACCCCAGTACAATTCAGAGGCAAATATTTGACTTTTTACTCCACATTTACTAACTTTTATTTGTAAAGATTCTACAAAATATTACTAATTAATAAAACATGTAATCAATACATTATTTATGATGTGTTATTATAGGTTAAGATACACTTTATTGATCCCTTAATAAAATGCACAAGATACCTCGCAGTATAAATACTTAATTGCATCATTAATTATAATCCAAAACTATAATTTATATTATTTTGAAAATGGCTGTTGAGCAAATAAGATACTTTTTTGAAAATGTAAGTATATTTTTATTTATTTCAGTTGAGCCTTGAATTTAGATCTTTTCCGGTTTATTCTCATTCTTGTTTGCAAATACAGTTGTACATTTGAATGCAATCTCTCTCATCACTTAACACCCTTCTATAATAAGAATACATAATAATACATAAGAGACAACACAAATAATTACCGTAATTTTCGGACTATAAGCCGCGCCTTTTTCCCTATTTTTCGACGCTGCGGCTTATATAACGGTGCAGCTAATCTATGGATTTTTACAGCTAACGGCCAACACCTTTAACTCTATGGGCTCTATGGCCAGTCCGCGGACCCCCACCTTTAAGCGGCGGGTTCCAGCAGGAAAAGCTGGAGGCCGGAAAAGAGTGAGACAGGTAGCGCGCAAAAGTAAAAGTGGAACCGAGAGTGGTATGCAGCTGCTGCGGCTTATATTCAGGTGCGCCTTATAGTCCGAAAATTACGGTACCTATTCTTTAAGCTCTGATGCTCTTTAGACTTAACTTGTAACCCTTTGGTATTACTTCTTATGCTAAGTTGATGATCTGAATGCTTCTCCTACCTCTGATAACTAAACACATTGATTTAATTCCCTGTATATTCTCATGGACAGCCTAGAGAGTTCTCTGCCTGCCCCCTCGACACCAACGATGACGTCAACAACTGGCTCAAGCATTTTGAGGTCCGCGCCCCCCTCATCTGCCAGTCAGTGCTGGTATCCAGAGACCCTGTGAGTAAAGCAAACACACACATCTCAGTGAGGCGAGGACACAAGATGAGCATCAGCCGTGCATTTAAAAGTAGGCTGCGTTGTATTGGTTCTTCTCATGTGTTTTCTGTGTATGTACCCAGGGTCTGGACCTGCGCGTGGAGCACACACACTGCTTCAGCCACCACGGAGAAGGTGGCCACTACTACATCGACACCACTCCTGACAGTGTGGAGTACCTCGGCTACTTCATGCCTGCAGAGTTTGTGTACCGCATTGACAGACCTAAAGACACCCATGAAGTTGGAAGAGATTGAAAGATGGATGAATGACTGTGGGCTCCCCCTCAGACAAAACCTGGAAACCCCTCCCTTAGGTGTACTTTCTAAGCCTCATTCCTTTAAATTCATCAACAATTGATTCAAGATAATCCGTTTGACTTTACCTTAAACCAAATGCTTTTATTAGTTTCTGGTTCTGGGAAAATAAGAAAACAGTACATATCTCCCAAACTACTGGACCACTGGACTTGATATTTCCAACATCACCCATGTGTGTGCTATTCTATTTGAACTAATTTCAACTAATGTTTCATTTTTTAATGAATTAAAAAAACTTTGAAAACCCCTTATCTAAATTAATCAAGCACTGTGTGATTTATATGATGTATGTATGTACAAAATAACAAAAAAGTAAATTTTCCTATAAAATAGGCTTAATTTCTATAAATCTTTGCCCTCAAATTGCATCTCTAAAAAATGTCATACATTTCTTATAAACAAAATCAATACATTTCATAGTAAAAAATATATTTGGATTGACTGTTTTTCACTGAATGCAGTAGTGTGTGTGCATCACTCATTCCCTCAGAAATCCAATTATAGTATATACAGTATGGGACCATGAACTACATGCCAATTCATCATGATAACACATTGTGCAAACGATGTCGATGAAATGTTTGCACAGAAAGAAAACACACCCTCAGTCCACCCATGCTGGTGTTTTCACGTAATTGCTTGATTAGGCTTATATTAGGGAGAATGTAAGTGTTTACAGAATATGATTGGCTGATATCTCGATCTTTAGTTGCATATGTGAGGTGTGATAGCAGAGGTCTAATCAGACACCTGTGCTGGTACTTAAATAGCCATGAGTTAAAAAAAGAACCTTGTTTTTCCAACTTGATTTTCACATTTTCTCATATTTTATGAAGCAAAACAATTAAGTGTCAACCCTGGATGCTACGTTATTACTGTCTATAGAAAACAAACATGGCCTTCTGGTACAGTTACATCAATTATAAAAGGGCGAGCAGCAGCAGCAGCAGCAGCAATATTACATTTAGTCATTGTTGTAGTGAAAACGGTGACCATTGTATCATGGGTATGGAAAATTGCCCGAGACACACAATTAAGCAACAGCATGAGATTAACACATGCACAGACAAATATTCTAAATAAATTACAAATTAAATAAAGAATAGTAACAGAGTAATAATCATTTAAAAAATAAATTAAATATTTAAATAAGGAGAGACACTACAGACAAGCATTAATTTGACTGGGGGTTTATTCAAAATGTGTACTTTGCATGATCAAATAAATGGTAGAGACCTTAATACGTAATAATAACAATTATTAGTTTATTTTCTAAATAAGGCTGTGTTTCTCTAGCGTTGAAACAGCGCCCTCTCCTGGCCAGAGCAGGTAACACATCATTTCCCACAATGCTGCTGCCGCACCAGCCCGGAAGTAAGACGTTTATTGACAATATGGCCGCTGTGCTGGGTTTGGATTTGGCGAAAATTGTAATTTGACAGCACTCACCGGGGCTGCGATAATAACCCGTTTTCCCGTCAGGAGTGTAAAGAACAGATGCATTTGAATGAAGGGACCCGCGAACTCACGGGACGGTGTCAGTGAGCTGAGGAAACGTCCAGAGTGTGAAACCCGTCATGTCGTTTTTCAAGAGGAAAGGTGAGGAAGCTCCCTCTGAAGGCTTCAACGTCAACGCTGTCTCGCAGCAAAGAGAGTCCGGCTGAGGAGACCGTAGTCCCGGTAACATGGCACTAGTGTAGTCGAGACTGCGGCCAACAGTAAATCCTCCGCGGACACAGCGGTGTGTGTGGAGCCGCGCCGCTGCTCACTGCAGTGACATGGTTAGCTTAGCGGTGGCCTCTATCCTGCTTGCCCTAGTGTTAGCCAGGGAGGAAATACATCCACCCTAAAGAGCTGTCAACTGTATGTTATTTCAATTAGACACATTACCATGACAGTGTTTGCATAAAATAGTGCTTCTAAATGTTATGAACTTTAACGAACACCAATATCTGTGATAGCCATCAATTGATAAGTGTCGAACTTTGCTATGGCAGCTAGCTAGCTTTATCAATACATTTCCATACAGGTTTAACCAGACATAAGTATGAAAAAGACTATTAAATGTCCGTTTTAACTGAATTAGAGTTGTTAGGTTATTATAAAGAAAATGTGTGTAGTCTTCATTGAGAAAAGTTTGACCAAAATGGATGTAGCTAACGTTGGTAACATTGCTCAGCATCATTCAACGTTAAGTAGAAGGAACTGATTGAATTGAACCTGCAGTTTTAGTTATAAACCAAAGCATGATGAAGCATTTTTGCTGGCTACCACCAAGTAAAATAATGATAATATAGTCTAATAGCTCAGCTTTCATGTACAGGCTCTTCATACACGTTGTAATATGCCATGTTTTTCTAAACTGTTTGATAGAAATTGGTTTCGCTTCATTTGGAAGACTCTAGTGCAGGTGCATCTTTTATTTATTCGACACATTTAATAGTAGTAGCAGACCTCAGCAGTTTAAAATTGTGTAGCTAATACATTTCCTACAAAGTGTTTTTAAAGAACAAGCCCTACATTTTATGAATCATCTCATTGATTAGAAGAAAGCAAATAGATGTAAAGGGGCAGAATAACAAAGCAGTGATTTTAAAACAGATGTTTACTGGAGTATCTTTGTGTTTATTATAAGAACTATTCACAGTAGCTTCATTGTTATAACTCTTCAAAAGTTGTTCATCTTTTAGAGGGAGAGTAGAATTATTTTCCTGAAAGGCTACAGCGGTCAAAGCAGCTGACACAGCAGGTCACACAAAAAAGAGAGAGGGTGCACTTACAATGCTGTGAACCTGGATGATACTCATGACTGACAGGAAGGAAGTCGGATGCCTGGTATAGGCACATAGTTGAAATGTGCAGACAACGTTTTGTAATGAGCTGAAGTTTGGCAAAGCAATTATAGTGCTGTTAAATAATAACTAGCTGCCTGAAACAATACATTAGTTGAAATGTACGTATTTTGGTTGTTGGACTTTGTTTATTTATTATGATTTGGTATTATAGTATTAGTAAAGGCTATAATCCCAGTTTCTCTCCCCCACCCCTGCCTGAAACGCCTCAATTGGACTGGTTGTTTACTTCCGTAGCATAATGACAACACTATGTAACACTTGACCAATCACAACAGAGCCTGCCAGCTAACCAATCAGAGCAGACTGGGCTTTGGTTTCAGACAGAGGGTGGAAAGACTTGCTGCAGCACAGGTAGTATGAGATTCTGATTTATATTTTACAGCAGCTCTTTAGTTTGTCCAGTCCACAAACATTTCTCCATCTTCAGGCGCACACAGTTTTCTGACATTTTTCATAGAGGTCAAGTGTTTGTGATGCTTTGTGTATGTATGAATGCTGAACGCATGGATGCGTGCACGTACGTGGGTGCTGATATTGCAAATCTTTTATTTTATTATACATTCATTACAGCACATCCATGTGGTTCAATGAATGTGTATTAATTCCAAAGACATGCTTTATTATTTGAACCATGTTTCCCTCCTGCCCAGAGGATGTTGTTGGAGCTTAGACTTTTAAATAGTCACGCTCTGACAGACAGCCCATCAGAGCCTACCCACTCTTGTTCCCAGTCCATTTTGTAATGTCAGTACTTGAAATGATACTTATCCTGACCCCCCTTTGCTGCAACAGCCTAATCTGAAGATATGAATGTTGCGTCACTCTAATCTTGGTTGCCACCACGTCTGCCACTCTGCATTTGTTCTACATATTTCAGTTTTTATTCGACAGTTGGCCAAAGAGTTTTGGACTGGTAACAAATAATCGAGTATTGAATAGTTGTCCATTATGCTTGTGATTTATAATGCTGTGTATAAATTATTTGAAATAATAACCTCTTTTAGTGCTTTGGAGGAAAGCTGTCAGACTGTCAACTCCCCTCGACTTTAAAGCAGTTTAAAGGACCCACCAGAGCTCATCGCCAAGGTCACAAATCTTAAAAAGACTTAGTGTGAAAGCCCTCTCAGTGCTGCTTACTATATAATGAGGACTGAGAGGGCTTTCACATATCGGAACACAGCTTCCCTTTTTTTCCTCATCCGTCAGCAGCAGGGACGCAGGTCTGCAGCGAATGATCTGTGTGTTTTTCTAGCGTATCCATTTCCTCACTAGGTCATTACGTAACTAGATAGTGAGTTCCAGTCTTTTCCCGCTGCGACACCACACAGCACCATCCCTTTTACCTCGCCTGTCCTTATGAATGGCTTCTCGCTGGTCACGCCCTGTATTGTGAATGAAAATGCTTCTGATTCTAACCCCCGTTCTGACCTTTCTCTCCCACAGCCAAAAGCAAAGAACCTGAGAGAGTGACAGATGCTAAAGTAAATAAAGGTGAGTTCATCGTCTCCTCAGTGAAGATATGAAAGTGTGAAAGCATGTTGTGAAGTGAACATTTACATTTTTTATTACTCTTTATTTATAGACAAAACTTGCATTAGCTTATTCCTTGGATCCGAAAGCAGTTGTTTTCACTGGAAAAAAAGCAGGAGAATTTTTTCTTTTATTCATGACAAGAATACAGACAATAGTTTTTATTATCAACTGGTTATTTGTGATGCATTTGTGGACAAAATTAACATTTCTACAAGTGTGCTCAACTGTTTTAAATGGCTTTTTGTTTGATCTGGTTTGCTATCTTTCACTATTGCTGGCCCTTATTGTCACAAGGACAACCTTTCTACGTGAAGCTATTAAGTGAAACACATACAGCTCACAGTCAAACAAACACTGAGCACTCTGTCTCACATCCCACCTCAAGGCCTCTATACTCTTACTGTGAGCGCTTTGAAAAACATTCACTAAAAATATATTTTCATCCACATCAATCTGACTCTTTTTCTTCTTTCTATTTTGCTTGATGCCTAATTTCTGTCTCCCATGCTCCCTCGCAGCTCCACCCAGCCCTCAGTCACCATCACAAGGACTGAGGAACCACCATGCCACCCAGGAGCCCGCGGGACCCAGCCATGTGGCCATCAACGCCATCTCCGCCAACATGGACTCCTTCGCCCGGGGGCGCACCGCCATCCTCAAGAAACAGCCGAGCCACATGGAGGCCGCTCACTTTGGAGATCTTGGTACTGAGCCTTACTCGTGTGTTTTGTGTTGAAGTGATAAAAGATGAGGGCCCAAAACAATGTAGGTCTATTATATCACACAGAGGAAAACAACAATAAAAGGAGTAGAGCTGGAAACAACAATTATTTCCTTAATCATTTATCCGTCTATGATTTTCTCAATTAGTGTATAACATTTTTTTTAAATATTAGAAAATTACCTTTATAATTTCCAGAGAACAAAGAAACCATTACATCCATTGTTATCTCCTACCAACAAATACCACTATCTACTACTGTCATATAACACAAAGTCAAGCAGGGAATCCTCACATTTAAAATGCAAACATCTGAGAAGTTGTGCCTTTTTTTGTTTGAAATGTAACAGAAAGACTAATTAATTATAAGCTAGTTTATTTCTGACAATTGACTGATTAATTGAGTCATGCCAGATTTACTGGAAACAAATATTTCAGAAGGACAAATCTAAAAGTGTTTGAATTTCTGCCAAATAATAAAATCTCAACATAAGAACACAAAAACAATGTATACAAACTCCCTATAATATAGAAATGATCATAATGAAACCAATATAAAGAGCTATAAACATGGCAACGTTAGCTTCATAAGCTTCCTTAAAGGAACAAATGGGTTCCTCATATGAATGTGCTGTTACTATAGTATACCTGAGTCTTCTCTTGCATCACTAAAATGGCTTTAACAGTCTTGTGCAAGTGGCAAACACTCCTTCAATAATCTTGTGTGAAGCACTTTCACAACTTCATGCTCCCAATGTGATGAGCACTCCACAGCCTGTAAGGCCTCCTCTCTCGAGGTCATGTTGTAAGAACACAGCTCCTCCCTTTTATCCAAAGTGCTCTAAAATTAGATTCTGCTTACGTCAGATGCAATGATGATGGTGAATATTTAGTGTGGCAGGACCTGTGGAATGACAGGAACTGCCCGAGCAAGTTGCCCAGAGAATAGCAGGGGTGAGTCAGAGAGGTGGAGGAACCTGTGCCGCAGCCCGGACAGCAGAATGACAACCAAACTCACCGGGCAAGAGAAAGAAAGAGGAAGAAGGTGAGGGTGCATTTCAAAGGCAAAGTGGGTTCGGCCCAATCCCAGGCTGCGATTTGAATAGTTAAACAAATCACATCCTTTGTCTTTTGTCTCCTTGACCTCGATTGAAACGTCATAAGGCCAAGGAAAGATGTGATTGATTCTAATTCCATTTAGACGACAGCAGTCTTGACTTTAGTGTTTATGAGTGGGCAACAGTGACAATCTCAATACTGTACAATTCAGGTAAGGGAAGAGCACATTCACACCTCTTAGGAAGGATGTTCTCAGTTTATTCATAGAGTTTAATTAAACAGTGATGTCGGATGTTATATACTCTTTAAAAGGAATTCCGGGACAGCATTATCTCCTGTCCTTTGGTAAAGGATGATCCCTATGCTAAAGGAGATAAGAAAGCAAGAATCAAAACACCTTTCATTAACATTGAGATAATTCAAACAGGTGTTATCATGGCTGCCACTAAGATACTTCCGGGTCATTTCACTAAGAAGAAAAATGTTTCAACCCCCGCCCCGACGTCCCCCTAAGGCCTGAAGCCCTGAACACTAAGGGGCTTAACTGAGGTCACACACTTATTATGGTTGACTGTGAGTAACAGCAAGGGTTTGTAATAGTATGAATAAGGATAGGGCGCTTTGCGGTGACGTATCACATTACAAACAAAGGCAACGCATATTTTGTTCAATAGTGTGTTTTTATTTTTGATTACTGCCTTATTAAAACGCCATCCAGGCTCTTGAGTTACAGAATGGAGTAGAGGTTATTTTCAAATAATCACTTTACCCAATATTTTACAAACATCATCATAAAGCAAAATTAAAGTGATGGATGGTATAACTCGGCGTGTAAAACAGCCTATACCAACATACACCCTTAGTGTTGTATACATCTCCTTCCACAGGCTGAGCTCTGCGTCACATTCTTTGTTTACCTTTCTTTCTTTTAGTTTAACACTCTGGGTTTCCCGTTGTAACCCCATGTTCTACGTCACAAAGCTATGCATTGTGTGTAATTCATTTCCCTCAAACTAACTCCTCAGAAATGCGCTTCATGGCAGTTCAACCTAAAGTGAGACTTGTATTTAGTGGAATTAGTGGGAGTTAATCATTCATCTTAACAGTGCAGTGACAGTGTAAACCAAACGTGATAATATGATTTCCCTGCTCTCCTGTATGTCTTTATGTCTTTATTAGGATCCCCATTAGCACTAGCATGAGCATTGGCTATTCTTCCTGGGGTCCTGTAATGGCTGTTGAGTATCACGCAGCTGTAGCACATGTGAGGGGGCATTGTAAAATCAGTGCCTGACTTTTCAAAGATATTCAAATGAGGCAGGCGCTTTGTGATGATGTGGCGTCCCTGTGTGATCTTAAGGAATGCGAGGGAGGTTTACAGTGGGTGACGCACACATATTTTTTTAAAAGAGCAGCAAACATAACACCACAAATCCTCAGCCCAGGCTTCAGACAGCAGATGTGCTCTTATTCCTAACGCAGGTGGTGTACCTTCAACAGGTATTCTCTGTTAAAGGCAGAGTACACTGAAATCATATGACATCCATACAGGAGTTCGGTGCTATGGCAACCACAGTTATTGCTGACCTCTTCAGATACTCAATAATGACTGTTTGATGTTGACTCTGAAAAGTTTGTCTGGGTGAAATCCTCTGTGAAATTGCATAGTCCAAAGCCACCTCTAGAGACACAGTCAGAAATTCACAAGACTTCAAAAATAAATATCTAGGAGTTTAAATTCAGCGCACGTTCCAACAGTCTGGACCAAATGTTCAGGAGAACTAATTGAGCTGAATCCACTTTTTATTTTTCACTTCATGTTGCAACTCAACTCTATTATGAAAGTTGAAGCCTGTAAATAATAGAACGTTTGCTGCTCTTATTGAAGTGGAATACTTGAAGGCAGTATACATCTTTTGACATGTGCATTTTTACTAAAAAAGTGTATATGATCTTAGCCTTACAAATAAAAATCCCCACTAATATAACACCTTTTTTTAATTGAGTTAAATCATAAATTGCATTGGGGTGATGACATTTGTTATGTTCTGACTTTCTTTAAAAAACTTGAATTGATTTATGTTTTTTTTTATATCTATTCAATTGTTTTAATTTCTCTAAGTCAAAGTCTGTATATCAGAATTTTTTTGACAAAAAAACTAAAATCAATACAACATTTATATTGTGATGTTTACTATTGCTGCTATAACATAATATTAACACAAAGAGATTTAAGATAAATAATCATCAGTGATGGGAATGTAATGAATAACTAAGTAAAGGCATATAAAAGAACAGGCCTAGACATTTGAAAGAAAAACATCCCTTGTTATGTAATGCAACTAAAATGCTGTCTTTAAAAGGAGGCAAATAAACATATGCCATTTAAGATTGATATAATATAACATCTATCCAAATGTCAACATATCCATTTGCTGTCAAGCCGTAATTGAAGCCTGAAGTTATAAATTGATAACTTAACTGTGTGTATATTTGCATGTTCCAGGACACTCCAGTGTGAACTATCAGCAGGAGGACCGCTCCCGGCTGTCTAAGACAGTGGAGCACGTCCTGCGGGACGGCGTGGCCATCCCTCACTACGTGCACTTCATGGAACACCGGGGCGCCGACCACCTTGTTCGCTTCTGGTTGGAGTCGGAGACTTTCCGGGCCACCAGCTGGTCGCGCGTGCGAGCGCACAGCCTGAACTCTGTCAAACAAAGCTCTCTGGCGGAGCCCGTTCCCGCCTCTCCGGGCAGACCGGACCTCCCGCAGCTCGGCCGACACACGGCCGATGTTCTCAGCAGGGAAAGTAGCAATGAAGGCCTGGCGGTGCACACGGAGCGGCGGGACTCCTCCATCACAGAAAATGTCCTGAGGCCCGGCACCCCTCGAGCGGAAACCCCCAGCAGGCAGACCCCCTCCAGGACTGGGACTCCCTGCAAGCTGCAGCCCAACAGCACGCTGCAAGACCTCTCTGAACTCATGAAAAGTGAGTCAACTTCAAACAACCCCTTCTCTTTTATATTTGTGTTTATATATGTTTTTTCATACTCAGTGATATAATGCAGCGGAAAAAGAAAAACCTAATCTACATAAAGCATGCAACTTCAATGTGATCCACTTTTACTGAAGAGTTGAAAAATAGTGGCAGATTTAAACGTTAGATTTTTGCTAAATTCACAAAATGACTTAAAACTAACATAAAGGCCATATTTATATTATTTGTTTCCACTGTTTGGTGTTTGACTGGCACCCTTTTTCCTGGCCATCCCATTGCAGTCTCTTCTTCACAAAATAAAGACGCTTTGCATTTTTGTTAATGCATATGTCATGAATCTAATTTGTCAATAATAAATGAAATCAATCAACTATTCTGAACGGTTCATAGGTATCGTAGTGGATATTAGCACTGACAAGGATATTTGGGTTCAAAATGAATGAAACCTGGCTATTACCTAAGGATGTTGGAGAGAAACATTTGTGCTCAAGAGTGACCTGAAATTATTTGGTCAGATAAAATAACCACTGTCCGATGCTTTGTCAGGATACAACTGAAAAATACAATTAAAAAATTTGACGATTTAAAAAAGCCATCTTACACTCTGATTCGATTTTTTTGGTCAAAAAACTTGACGTCACAGTGGCTTTACAAAACAAATAAAAATCAATATAATAATTACGACAATTCAAATGTCCCAAAGGATAAAATAATGAAGTGATGACATTTTGGACAGACGATGTAAAAGGCAACTTGACTTGTGTGCAAAAGCATACGAACACAAGACTTTAATTCTAGTTAAAGTCATTTTTTAAATAAAAACCATATGTACATTGTCCAAGCTGTCAAAGGAACGACAGGCCACAAATAGATCCCTTCCTAAAGTGATTTCAATGAAAAGAAGATGGACAAATTGCACAGTACACTTTTTAACGTAAAAATACATTTTTATATTCAGAGGCTTTACCAGTGTGTGTTGGACATAGTTAGCTATCCCAAGAAGAAAGTATTTTTAGCATGACATTCCCTCTCTGTGATGACACAAAAAACATTCCTGTGCATGTTGCAACTGTTTTTTTTTTTTAAGCTATTTGTCTTTGTCTTCCGCAGGTATAGAGAAGGAAGCAGTCACCATCTTCACCAGGTACATCTCTCCAGATGCTGTGAGGCCCATCCCCATCACAGAACCAATCAGAAATGATATCGTGGGTAAGAAACACACGTTAGGAACTCACTTCTTTTTTTTTTTAAATATGAGAGCCGATTTGAAGTGCTTTGGTTTCAGTCACAAAAACTGTAATACATCCATCTTGAATAATATCCCTGTCTGCTCTGTGTAGCTAAGATATGTGGAGAGGATGGCATGGTGGACCCAAACAGCTTTGTCGTTGCACAATCGGTAGTCTTCATCATCTTGGAGCAACAGTGAGTGTGTCCATTTATTTTCCGGAGGAGTTAATGGAACGAGGTTTCCCTGTCGACATGTTTCCACAGTAGAGCTAAAGTGCAACTAGTCATTTGTCATTTTCCCCTGCATTCATTTCCCACCTGCTCTTTCTTATCCAGGCACTTTAGTGATTTCCTGCGGAGCCATCATTTCTGTAAATACCAGATCGAAGTGTTGACGAGTGGCTCCGTGTTCCTGGCTGACATCTTGTTCTGTGAGTCAGCTCTCTTCTACTTCTCTGAGGTGAGTGGGCCCATTTGTTAAACACCTTTTTCACTCCAGTACGGACGGTGCCATTTATGTTTGTTTTTGTACACAAACTGTGCCTCATGTCCCCTCCTCATTACTGTAAACACTTGTCCTCTCTTGCCACTACCCCAAAAACACTTTCTGTTTATTTACGTATGTTACAGGGAATTTCTATTGTCACAGCAGCAATAAAGTGAGGTCTCAGTAGAGATATTTCTCAAACTATTGCTAAGATAAAGTGACAATTAACCCCAGCACTCCCTAACGTTGTCGGAGCAAACATTTATTTGCTGTGTCAGCGTATACACAGGACTCACAGTAAACCCTGAAACACAGTGACTTTCAGTTGAGGTGTGTTGGTCTCTTCCTCCCCGCAGTACATGGAAAAGGAGGAGGCGATGAATGTAATGCAGTTCTGGCTAGCAGCGGACAACTTCCAGAACCAGCTAGCAGCTAAAAAGGGCCAGTATGACGGCCAGGAGGCTCAGAATGACGCCATGATCCTCTACGACAAGTAGGTCTCCACTCAGCCTCTTAAGAGTCCTGTCCTTTCAAAAGCTATTTGTGACTAAAAGCCAGGAAGATCATTTTAAGTGATTGTCAACGTTGCAGCTTATCGTTGATTTGTAATATTTAATAGTTCAACGTTTATTTTTCTCACTGTTTTTTTATTTGTATTTGATAATTATTTATTGTTATATTTTTTGTTTATTGGGTTAGTTGTTTTAGCTTTGTTTTGAAAGCAACTTCGGGCACTGGTTGGATTTTAGGACAAAAGAGAAGATAGAAGTCATATTTCTTTATCTGGTTTGATTGATGAAACCTGAGATGGAAACTTTGTCCCTACAGGATCACGACATGGACAAAACAATTATAAATTAAAGTGATAAGAAAATAAGAGGAATTTATATATTTATAGTTGAATCAAATCTCTTCTACTGTTCCAGTCTCGCTATGTTTTAGAACCAGAGGGTGGTATACCACAGTAAATACATAGTCATGATTATAGCTGCATTTTAGAAAATATGAATGTATTACTGGCCGGTTTCCTGACGGTATTGATTATTTTGCACTTTCACCCTCTGTTGTCTTATATAGTAAAAAGAATCCACACACTGTTAATTAGCTGCCATGATAATAATCATATCAGACAGCTGCACTCAATGCTGTGCATGTGTAGCCAGACATTCACATTTCTGTTTATTTTTGGGAAAGAAACTAATGGGTTGACATGTACAATCTAGAACTTAAACAGGAAAAGGGGATTATAACTGATATATTCGGTTACATCTCAATCTCTTTTACAGTATTTCCGACATGGATCATATTTTAAAGACAACTTCTCCCCCCAAGTGGTATTCTTTTTGGCACCGCTGTGGCAAAGACACCTGGTTTATAGTGAACCAATCATTAAAACGATGGTGACATTTTCCAAAAATCCATTACATTGTGCAATCAACATTTAGTTTCTTATGTTAAGTTAAAGCAAAAGACTTGCCTATTGTCACTTTGACAGTTGACCAGTCGTCTGATGTTGGAGGATTTTTTATTGAGAAATATTTCAAGGTGTTTCTTTTTCTGTAAGCTTTGTGCAGTTAAGAACTGTGAAGGAGAAAGCCCAGTCACTAGTCTATATTAGCAGCAGATAATTTTTGCAATATTTCATTCATATTTAGATAATATTAAATAAATGCCAAAGTCCTGCTTGCCAGAGGCATTGCAGCTTTAAAGAAAATGCAATTTCCTCAATACAGTTCTTGATTTAGGTTTAAGGGAGGTTTATTTTGAAGTCTATTGCATTTTTGGTATTAATTTGAGTCCTAATTGAGATGACCTTACCTGAACTCCGTCTTTTATTGCTCTATTTCCTCTTCAGGTATTTCTCACTCCAGGCCACTAACCCTCTGGGCTTTGGCGACTCTGTACGGATGGAGATCGAGTCGAATATCTGCCGAGAGGGGGGGCCGCTCCCCGACTGTTTCACCACTCCACTCAGACAGGCCTGGACAACCATGGAGAAGGTACGGAAATAGGAAACATTCAAGAATATACAATAAAGCACCCTAGAAACGCATACTTATAATGCGTTATATTATGCTTATAGCACTAAACAAGTATAGTACTAAGCAGTTCATAATGCTTCAAACAATAATCACACACATTATAAAGTTTGAATGGTCAAGTATTATCATAATTGCTGGTCACTCTCTAACCTGTCTTTAAAAGGATCATAGTGTTTCATAATTCCCATTGTTAAATCACATTATAAACTTAAAATAATGCACTTTTACAATTATCTTCAAAGTTGGGTATTACTCACTAGAATCAGAACAAAACGTTTTAAAGCTTTGAAGCTGTATCTTTTCCTTTGATCAACATGAGTGAATAATTCAAATAAAAAGGTAAAAAGCAGATTCAAAGGTTTATTGTCATATCATATACACAACTATTGTGAAGTATGAAATGAATGAAAAACCCAGATTCCTCACTAATACAAATGCACTGGTGTTAATACTGGTAATTATAAGAGCTTATAACTGCTATTAAACAGTGCTATAAACGGATTTTTAACACATTTTACCATTGTACAGAAAAGTTCAATTCATGTACATTGGCCTTTAAAACTTTTAGCTGCATAATTATAAAATCTTCTGCTTGAGCTGTTTTCTGTAATTTAATAGGATCCTCCTAAAGGTTTTGTGTTGTAAGTCACTGACAAATTGTCCTATTACACCGATGACAAATGCACTTGCCTTAAGTTAATGAAATGAAATCTGAACACTGTTGTCGGCACGTAAAGGTCAGAAACAGACCTTTGTAACTTGTGCACAGAAATACATCACGCAGCTCATTATTGGCTAACAGAGTCACCGTTGTGTTGCGTTTGTTCAGGTCTACATGCCAGGCTTCCTGTCTAGCAACCTTTACTACAAATACCTGAGTGACCTCATCAACTCGGTGCGGGCGGACGAGTTTGTGAATGTCAACACTCCGGGTCAGGGCGGGCCCACGGACAACGAGCGTTCAAGTTCAAATGCCAACGAGGGCTCTCAGACTCAGGTGACCCCAACGTTAACCCCCCCTCGTCGTCCGCCCCTGTGGGGATGTTCCTCCTGACATTTACTCCTGTTCCGCCTCATTACGCTAACAATGAAGACATTTTGTTGTAAATGCCAAAAGGGCTGAGTGTATTCCAGATGTTTAGATGTCTTCTTAGAAAAACAACGTTGCAAGTTACGCTGCCAAACATTCACTTCATGTTTTCTTCACGCTGCAACAGGGGGCCAAAAGGGCAGCGATCAAGATCCTGAAAAACTTCGACGAGGCGATCACGGTGGACGTCGCCAGCCTGGACCCCGAGTCCTTGTACCAGAGGCCGTACGCTGGGTGAGTGTGTAATGCACCAGATGGCTAAATCTGTGTTCATCTCTTTAAATGAACTCTTCAGATATTTGCTGTTCTCCAATTTAGCTATCGGTCATTTCCCCCAAGTTCCATTGTTCTCCCATATTCTTATGTTCTATTGATTGCCCACATTGCCGTTTAGCTTTAATGCTTGTAACTGTTTTGTTTTTATTGACTCACTCTCAAAGTGTTTTATGAGCACTCTGTAAAGAATCCGGCACAAAAAAATAATTAAAGGAAATAATTGTATTGAAAGGCAAAGCTGCAAGGCAAGGCAAGTTTATTTATATAGCACCTTTCAACACAAGACATTAAGAAAATGTCATTTTAAAACAGTCATTAAAAAGCAAAGATAATAAAGTAAACATTAAAAGAAAAAATACATGGATAAAAGTTACAGTGCAGTTTAAGATATGAATAGTTCAACTAAAAGCTGAGGCAAAAAGAAAAGTCTTCAGTCTGGATTTAGCAGTAGTGAGAGTTGCAGCGGACCTGCAGATTTCTGGGAGTTTGTTCCAGATATTTGGAGCATAAGAACTGAACGCTGCTTCTCCATGTTTAGTTCTGAATCTGGGGACAGAAAGCTGACCAGTCCCAACTGCAGTCGGATGTATTTCCCCTTCATTGAATTTGGATTGATACAAACACACACAGTGATTTTAGAATGTTGCAGTTGTGCCTGTTTGCTCTGTCTTCATCCCTCTCCTCTTCTCTCAGAAGGATGACATTCGGGAAGGTGAACGAGATGGGTCAGTTTATCAGGGAGGCCGAGCCTGAGCCGGACGTGAAGAAATCCAAAGGCATGACAGCTCACTCTTTCTTCTGTGTCTCATTATTTGCTTTGAATCTTGGCCCTTACTTTTTCATATTTGATGTCAGTGCAGTGTAAAACATCTACTGTGCATCCATGAATATAAACCTTATCTTAAGAATCAAGGTTTAAAGGCTATATGCACAATAGTGAGCAGAGTTGTTGGCACTGAACATCTCCCAGTCTCCGCTCCTCCAACAAGGCAACATATAATATGCTTCACATAAAAATAAAAAGGCTTAATAAAAGTGTGATGAAATAAACGGTGCAAGTAAGTTACAGAAATAAGAAACATGTGGCATATAAAAAAGAAAAAGATAGAACAGAATGTAAAATTAAATACTTTAATATTATCATCTTCTCCATAATCCTATTCTCCACATGCTTTCAAACCTTTCCGTAATATACAAGAACAGTTCTCTGCCACAACTTCTCCTAAGATGAGGCAACAAACATGTATTTATTATAGTACGGTTTTGGTCTAAAATAGAGTACAAGATATTTGGGCTACATAATGACTATGCCAAACTTTAAGTCTATTATAACGCCGCAAATATATTTAACTCACCTTGAGGAAGTGAAATTAGGCTACAGTGTGTGCAGTTAATATGCTGTTTTGTATGTGCTTTACAGTATGTGCAGCCTCACTCAGCCTTCCCTCTGCTCTCCTTCAGGTTCCATCTTTTCTCAAGCCATGAAGAAATGGGTCCAAGGCAACTCGGACGAGGTGAGGAAACAACATGCTAAAATGCTACTTAAAAAAATATACTTAAAAGCAGTTTAAAGCTAAAGTTTGTGCTTTGACATCCCTATCAAGGCACAGGAGGAGATGGCGTGGCAGATCGCCAAGATGATCGTCAACGACGTCGTCCACCAGTCAGGTCACGACAGCCCCGGCAAGTCCACCAAGGTACGGATCCTCAACCGGTAAGCCCTCTCCTCTGCGGCGATGTGTGTAATAACTTCTTCTTCTCTCTTTTGTCTGCAGTTATGACCCCGCTGAGGAACCAAAGGACCATCACGCCCTGCAGACATTGGCCAGACCAGTGACAAACTGTACGCAGGGCTCACTCCACAATGAACTGCATTAATCTCATTACGAACAAGGCATTTATCATCTCCCCAATGTGTCTGTATGAATGTGTGAGCTTGGGTGCATCATGATAAAGTTGAAGTACATATTTGCACCAATCTTCCAACTCCATAATACTACGAAGGTACGCGTGAGGTCGCCAAAGGTGAAGCTCACAAGTTGGACTGAAGTCACTCCTGAAGGAAGGAAACCTACAACACACACACACTTGACACTGTCTGGAAATAATGTCTCTCTTATCTCGGACCTATGGAGGATGTGACAAAGACTGAATTTGCCCTCACGACACTCCTCCCCACACCTTTTTTAAGCATTCCTTGTTTTTAGATGAAATGTAAGGGTTAGCCACGTAAGGCTTAAGCAGATGAAAAATCAGTGTTGTACAGTTTTCTGCGTACGCTTCCCGCAGCCCGTCGGAGTAGTGTCGTCTGCCGTTCACTCATGTGAGCTGTCCCACCTCGGCTGTTTTTGCGTACTGTAGAACATTTTTGGAAACGTGACAATGAAACAGAAGGAGAGTAGATTTGTTCCTTGGACCGGCTCAGCTCCTATATGAAACTCCTGGCACCTTTTACAGAGCGTAGAAGAAGAAGAAATATTCCCTTAATGGACTTAAGTGCTCCAGTTGTGTTGGAAACCTCCAAACTCCATGTCCTTAATGTTCTATATATGTACATGTAGATTTCTGGTTTACCCCATATATTAATGTTAGCCCTTTTTTATGGTGATCTGATTTTTTTTTTTTTTAATGCATCGCTGACACAAATATCAGTGATGACAGAACTGTTCAACTGGAAAAGGTGCCCAGTGAATAAAACATTTTTTTTAATTTAGACCCTTACCAAGATGTGGAAAAGAACCAGAAAAGACTCTTGGTACTATGTACCACTAATGTTTTCTGACATTTATGTATGTGTACTTAATCTATAATATATTTAAATTGTGTTTGATTTAAATACATATATTATAAAATGTGTCTGTCTTATTTTTTTACATATGTCAGAGTTGGTATATTATTGCTATTTTTAGCCAGTTGTCGTTTTTGTGATACATTTATTACTTGTTTTTACAATACTAACATAATTAGTATGTGGTAACCTGCCTGGTGCCAACAGGACTAGGTTGAACTATTATCACCTCTGACCAGGAGGGGGCAATGTTAACTGTATTACTATGTTAGGGATAAACAAAAAACATGAACATGAACGACACAGCAGATTGTTTTGGACATGAGAAAGAGTAAGTACTTTTTCAATAAGGCTCATCTGTTTTCTCTTGTACAGGTATTGACATCCACAAATTGTACAGTACAGTTGAAACCAATGGGCAAAAATTCATTTTCAGTGAAGTATAACACATTTAAATAGTTGAATTACTGTTTTCTCACTGTTGTAATCGCCTCTGTAAGTAGTAATAACAGTTGTGCAGTGTAATATCAGCTCTGAACATGGCTCCAATTGTTTTCATTTAATACTAGTGTTTATTTTAAAGATACAATTATCCCAATACTAATGCTGTTGATACATATTTTACACCTCGGTGAGCAAAATAGCCTTGTACTAACTATTTCACCGTGTATAGGCCTACTGCTTATGTGGTTTCCAGACTGGGCTACCTGCACGTGTCGAGGCAACGCCCACCTCTATACAAACCATACAAACTAACACTCTCTGTTCTGAGCTCTGATTGGCGTAGATGCTGTTACATTAGGCAGCTATGGACAACAATTCAAAATGACCCATTTTAATTCATGTCGATGCTGAAAAGTGTTTGATATGCAGAGATAACAATTTAATTAATATAAAAAACGTACATTTAAACATATTAACAGTTTTTTTATTACATTGGTGTGCTTAGCTGTTTGTGAAAGCTGTACAAATGATACTTGCATTAACAAAGTGCAAGGTGTATTTGGACAAGTAGCCGCGACCAGACAGACACCCAGTCTGCAAAGTTAAACAAAATATGTGCAATACACCGGAAGAGTGGGGTTTTGCCTTCAGAATAAAAGTCATTTTGTTAAATAAGTGCTCTCAGTGATCTCCCAGCATGCGCGAGGCCTCCTATAAACCATACTATCAACATTTACTGTTGCATTCAATACTACAGACCCAAAGAGGAGAGGACGTTAGCCTCATAGCCAAGTGAATCCCAAACTGTGATAACCTACCTAGTGATATGCAAGAGCTTTGCTTAATACAGAATACATATCATTTTAACGTCGAAAGACTAATGTCCCCGCCAGTATTGACATTACTGAGTGAGTCAAAAAAACCTTTAAAAGCTAAAGAAGAGTCTGAAACAACATGGCGGCGCCTAGCAAGAACTTGAGAAGATGCTCAAGGCTACTTAATTCTGGGATATACAGTCACAGAGCAAGAAGAAGAGCAAAGGCAAGGAAAGTATTTGTTGTTATATTTTGTGTATCTGCAGTTGGGGGTGTCAGGCTACTTTGGAAATGTGGATAGGTACATTCATTTTTCTGAAGTTTGGGAAACTTGAGCCTAGCATGTAGCCTATTTAGCATACAATAAACTGACATTGAAGTGTAAAATCAGTGTAGTGGCTCTTTAGTGTAAATTATTTAAAAATATTCCTTATTTTCCTGCGAAAACTTTCAGAGCACTGCCATAATTCCTTGCCGCGCTTCTCCTATCATGCCTTAACTTTGAAAAACCCATCCGGAAGTACTTATTTTAACCGTTGTGAGTTTGACGTTGTCCAGACCCAGACGCACTCTTGCTGAAACGCAAAGTGCGCTGCTGTCCGTGCGGAGGCAGAGCGAGTGCACAGACAGGAGCAGAGGAGAGCAGCGGCACCTGCTGCGGGACATGTTGTGTTTGTTGGTATAAATTAAAAACTGCTGCTCCACCCGCACTGATATGACCAATGCGCACCCAGTTTTTGGGTGTGACAAACCTCTTGCGCGTGTTTATGGAAGGTTTGGGCATTTATCCAGGCTGAGTGGAGGCGTGGATGACTTGACTCATGATAATTGATCACCATCACTCCTGCTGATGTGTTTTGGACGTTTTCTTCCTGGTTGGTCTGTCCAGGGCTGATGTTCTGGGGACACAAACTGCGGATGTGCCAGTGATTTATTTGCTGATGTGGTGAGCGGCTGAAGTTGAAGTCTTGCTCCTGAAGGTGTGAGCTCCAAATGCATTCGCTCCTGGGCCGGGAGAAGAAAGAAGAAGAAGCCGGGTTCGGGATCGATCTGGGTCTGTCTCCGGGCTTTCTGCCCCACGCTGCCACCATGTTCAGCTGTGTGGGCTGTTTCTGGGTGCTCCTCTCCTCCGCTCTGGTCGCCGTGTGCAGTTTCAGCTTCATATCCCCTGCCTGGATTGTTAAGGACCAGCTGAGGAACAACCACCATCTCCACCACCACAACAACAAGGACTCTGTGAGCTTCGGCTTGCTGTGGCACTGCTCAGAGTCTCTGGATCACATGTACCGATGCTACACCTTCGGGGGACTGGGCAAATTCGCAGAGATCCCCTCCAGCTCCTGGCAGGTAGGCGACCAAACACACCCATACAAGTCCATCCCATGTGGATGGATGAGAACATGTGGGCCATCAAGTGGGGATGGCATGGCATTATAAGAACCAGGAAAGAAGAGTAGTTGGCTTTATGAGCACAAGATGAATCAATATGAGCAAATAATCCAGCCTTTTAATCATAATCGCGCCTAAATTACTGCACCCAATCAAGAAAATCAGACCTGATGAAGAAAATGACATGCATTTAAATATGTTTGTTTTACACCCATAAAGAGTAATTTATCCATACATTTTTAACCTATAATAGTTTAAATTACTTTTATTCCATGTATCCTCAAAAGGTTCATTTTATTGTTTGGTGATTTTGTTTTGCAAAGCTGCTGTAACTTCCCCAGGTTTTCATGACCTCAGATGATACATCTCAAACTGTATGAAACTCAATGAAGCAACAACTATTTAAAATGGCTCTGATTGTCCTCCCAAACCGACTTTCTGGAGGACACATTTGGTGACGATGCAGGCAGAAAGAATGATTCATTGACCTGCGGCTGTATCATACAGAGCAGCATCTGCAGCACAGCACGCCAAACACACAACAAAGCGGCGGAAAGTGGCTGTACGTTGGCAGGCTGCTCGCCCATCAGGACTCCTCCATCACCAGCAGGAAGTTCTATTCTAGTCAAATCGAACCCGGTTAGCCAATGTGCGACGATTGGAGCGTGCTGCATTCTCCCTACCTATGGTTTTAAACATCAGTGCAGGTATATCCAGTAACAAACACCTGCAGGAAAAATAGCAAGGTTGTTGGAACTGTGTGACATCCCTTGACTTAAAAGTTTGAATTCTTCCAGATTTCTGCTGATACTGAAGAACTTTGAGGATTATTAGAGCAAACAAGGTTGGCCTTGCTATGAGACTCTTAACTGGGACGCTCACTTTTCATGCAAGTGGTGGTTTATTTGTTTCTACATGCAGGCTGTTTGGTACCCCCCATACTTAAAACATTTTTTAAAGCAGCTACACCAGCCACCTCTGGAGTTATGATTTATGCATGAAGAGGAATTAGCATTTGAAAGCGAGATATTAATAAGTTGCTGCTTGTGTGACTGTAGCGCAAGTGCCTGCAAAGAGGGGAAGAATGCAACGCCTGGGATTTTTCTCACAGGGAAGCACAGGTGTTGCAAACTGCAGATAGAGAGCAGTGAGCAAACACGGAACAGATCGGGATCTCTTTTATATGATTCATACATTAACCATTAACGCGTCCTTTTGCTGAGCTAAAGTAGCACGCTATAAGGCTCATTTGGTAAAAGAAACTCAGCCATTTGTCAATTAGTGGGGCCAGTTATGAGCTCCTCCTGCAGTTTGTTAGTGAGTGTGATGGAGCTGCTTTCCTGCGCAGCTACATGTGTCATTACAGTGGGTGCACCATCCTTCCATTAATAAAGGTGAAGGGGCCATTATGTTTTCATCAGACACTTTATTACTAACTCCTCACTGATGTGCATGTCGTGTTGCTGATGCCTTCCATTTTCAACACAAACCTGCAGCAGTATCGTGTGTGTGTATATATATATATATATATATATATATATATATATACTATATATAGTATATATATATATATATAGTATATCAATTGTCCAAAGACGTTGTATTCTACAGTCTGCCTGAATGTAATCATTGCGTAGGTGTGTAGTGTGATTCTTTGTAGTTTATTTATGGCATCCTGTTGGATTTGACCTCATCTGAACAGGACATTGCACACTCACTGCTTGTTAGCGCGCGAAGGTCTGTTGTTAAACAACATCAATATGGGGAAATGCAAGTTTGCGTCCAAATGGTTGGAAGATAAGGAGGTAAGGACAATCAATACTGTATATNTTTTTTTTTTTTTTTTTATGTTTTTTTTTTTTTATAACCATTTTTCCTCCTGGTCTCTCGCGCCCCCCCTGTCATGCCTCTGCGCCCCCCTGGTGGGGCGCGCCCCCCACTTTGAGAACCACTGTGTTAGTAGAAGAAGACAACTGTATATTGAACTCCGTGGAGTGGAATAGTAGTACTGTGGATGCTGTGCAAGGGAGCCAGAGGACGGAGAAGGAGAAGGAGGTGGAGGAAAGAAAGGAGGAGGCTCCCTGAGAGGCTGGCCTACTTGTGCTGTAGTTTATGTCAGGCTTTCTCTGTTGTTGCTTGGTTGTCAAAAGCTTTTTCTCGGTCCGTGCTGCAGTCCAGTGTTGGCCGTCCCCAGACTGCCACGCCCTGCTTCCATTAAAAGAGGGAGGCAAACAAACAGGTTTTCCCCTGTTTATTTCATATGGAAAGGAGAGTAGAGATGGGAAAGATTCCCATGTGTCATTCATGCGGCAACCTCAAGATTTGTTGATTGCAGTGTAGTTTTGCTTGTTATGTGCATTTGTGTTCGTAGTATGTTAAAGTTTCAATCCACCAGCATTTTGCCTTTTTATATTAGTCC